TAATCCACTCTGTACTGTCACAAAAATTCACAGAGATGGTATTGGGAATGGGTTTACAACTGAATTCCTATTGTGAGAGGGGCTTTATGCATGACACTTTTCAAAATCTTTACACAGTGTATGAGGTGTCATTATTCCTATCACAGTAGCCAGAAAGGTAGGACTTGTCATTCCATTTAAATGGGAAGCAGCAGGTGAAGCACTTGAACCTCTGAAAGATTAATAAGCAAATTGCCTAAAGTCATATTACTTCTAAGTGACAGAGCCAGAAGTAAAACCAAGGTTTTCTGACTTCTAAGATTAAGATCTTTTCCATTTGACAGTTTGGGTTTGTTTTGTTTTTCTTCAAGAGACTTAAGAAATGTTTGGTGAATGAAGGAATGACAGACTGGGAAGTTTTTGTTTCTTGCTGAGTTTTTCTAGGATATAGCAAAGAAACAAAGAGGGGGGGAAAATAATAACTCCTCCAAAACTCACTACCATGCTCTTTATAGGATTTCTAAGACTAAGTCTTTATGGGAGGTACCCTTATCTTTTCCCACAAGCAACTGACGGTTTTGAACAGCCAACCCTGTGGTTAGCAGCTCAATACTTTATCCACAGCATCACCTGTGCTTCTAAGGAGATAGTAAATGATTGTGTTTCTCTGTTCTCTTTCAGCTTTCAGAAGAATTATTAGATAAATGGCTCTCCTATCCAGAGTCTCAGCATGTTCCCGTCTGCCAGCACATGCTTGGTTTTGCTATGAAGTTTGTTACACAGATGGTAATGGGCAGTACCTTTGAAGATGATCAGGAGGTCATTTGCTTCCAGAAGAATCATGGCACGGTAAATATAGAGCCTGCTTTAAAATAGTCCTTTCACTACCACCACCACCACCACCACCACCACCCCAAAACAAAATAAATAAATAAATAAAATAGACCTTTCATCAGATTGGTTAGTTAAAACGATATAGACTTTGTCTTTAAAAGGGAAATGTAAGATTTTGTGGGACAAGTAGTGCCTGACAGCACGAAATCTCGTTCTGGTGATGCTCTTGTAAGTCAGTTCTGACAAGTTGAATGAGTCTTTTTACTTTTTTAAAAAGTTTTCTTTATTGCCTTTTATTCTGAAAATTTTAAAAAATCTTACCTTTCTTCTGGGGGTTGGAAACATGACCTATAAGCTTACAGATGTATTTTAATACATACTACTAATAAGACATAAAAAATAGTACTTATAAACATTGTTGGTCATAAATTAAATATTGCATAAGTCCGGTCTAGCTATGAAACCAGATTTTCATGTTTTGTGATAAAAAGAACAATGCAAGCAAAATTAATTGTTACCTTTTTAAAAAATTGAGCATTTTTAAAGCAGTTTTTGAAATGATAAAAAAATACAACTAACATTTTCTTTAAATACTTAGCAGGCCTGTTATAAAAGTACTACCAATAATTTTTCAAATAGTTATTTATTGAATAATAAGTTTTGTGTTCTTACACCATAATTTACTTTTGCTTAATAACTTTAGAGTTATAATTAATATACATTTGTTTTACCTCTGTTGCTTATTGTCCCTAAGCCCTAGATTAGTTTTCTAACCTTTTTCACAACCTCAACTAATATTTGTCAATATCTCAAGTGAAAACATTTTTTTGAATTATCTGTGAATTTTATCTATCTGTGATAATACCATGATATCCAAAATTGATTCTATTGTCATATACCTTCCCCCACTTTCCCATCTTAGTCTCTTTAAATAAAAGCAACTTTTCACTTTCCAATTATAATTAATCTGAAGGGAGCCTTGCTTGAATGAAATCACTGAAGTATATTTATAGCCTGTTCTCAAACTGGAGTAAATGACTATGCAGCCCTCATTAAAGGAGAGATTAATGACCAGATCTGTTGGTGAGAAAGGAATTCCCCAGTTAACTCTGTATATTTAGAAATCTACCTACTAGATATTTTATTTCCAGGTTTGGTCTGAGATTGGAAAAGGCTTCCTAGATGGGTCTCTTGATAAAACTACAACTCGGAAAAAACAATTCGAGCATGGTAAGATGACCACTCTTAATTATGTTTTTCCCTTATATTTTCTACAGTGTAAGTGGGGTTTTTTTTTAACTTAAAAAGAAGAAGAAACAATTATGTAAAATAATCTCTAGCACCCTGCAGAACAAAAGTGCTTCAGATGGTACATCCTATAGGGCAGTCACTTCCTCAATCACGTATGCTTCTGCGGGTCCGGTAGAAAGATTTGTTGCTAATGTGGTTCACCAGGACCCCTCCGGTTTAAGATATCACATCTGGCTTCTGTTTCGATTGTATTGAAAAGTCCTTCTTGAAATATGAATTGTGGTATCTTGCTCTTGCCAGACTTGAGAGAAATGAACACCTTCAGGTATTTGGTCGGGCCAGCATTGAAGTTAGATGAACTGCTACTAGAAAAGGCAGTTTTAAAAATTCAACATGGATTCTAAATTCAGGCCTAGGCTTTAAAATGGAGTTAAGGCTCCATCTAGACTGCTCTGTCCACACAACCAATTGCCTCCGATTTTCGGGTCTCATATAGGTATGTTTAATATGCTTTAGATGCTCAAATGGCAATGTCAAGTGAGTACATAGACCGGTGAGAGTTCAGGGGAGAAAGGTCCTAATTGGAAGTGAAAATGAGGCTTCCTTCTACTTGTGTTTCTGCCCCTGCGTGAGTGCTACATGATGTGGGAGAAGAACGGAGTTAAGGGGACATAATTTAAAAGGCAAGCACATGATATCATAGATTGAGAGGGCACATATATATTGTGGAGGCTTCTTGGGTCATTCCTAATTTAAATTATACACATATGTTTGCTGTACTCCATCCCCCACCAGTTAATATTGCTATACATAATAAAATAAGGAAGGAAAGAAAGTGGGTGCATTTAAACATAAATTAGTTTCCTTTATTATTAGTTGTGATTCCTTTACCTTTGGAACTGTATATAGTACTAAAAATAATTTTCCAAATGCTTATATTACATCTTTAAAATTTTTTTCTCTAAGCTCTCACACAACTGGAATCTATTTTAAAGAAAGTCATAAAAGAACGAAAAGGAAGGACCTCCGGTCAACATATTTTCATTGACTCCTTAGTACAGGGGAACCTTAATGACCAACAGGTGATGCAATTTTTAAATGTTTATCAAATTTTAAAAAAGCAAACCTTAATCTACAAGCTTTTCTAAAATTCAGTGGCTCTGTTCTCTTTTATTATATACTAGTAGATCAGGTCTCTTTATTTAGCTCTTTGAAGCAGCTCTGTGTTTAATATTTGAATAAACAAATACTGAATGAAAATTCTTTGATCATCAAAAAGGAGAAAGACTTGTATAAAGCTGTATAGACTAAGCCACACTGCCTGCGTGGCCAGCATGGTAGCTTGGCTGGTTAACAGTGCAGATCTAGTATGTCCTGCACACCACTGTGTTTGTGGTGCTGCCAGGCAAAGGACAGAAGTGTAGTCATTGTTGCCACAATTGCTTTTTATAGAAATCTTGTGCCCTACCCTACATACGCAAGTCAGCTTTTAGCTCCTGCTTGCAGACAAGTGGTTTTCTGTGCATGTGTTCTGTAAGCAGCCATCTGCACCCAGAACGGAATCAGGTTCTGGGGAGAGTGGCAGTGTGTTCACTGTCCCGAGGCTTCATTGATGCACAAGGCCAACTCAGACAGCTAGGACTGACCCCGTTTATTTGTCAAAGTGTGTCATCAGCCCCTAACAGTAAAATATTTATTGCATCAAAAAGCAGGGTAATGTTCAGGTTGCTTTTCCATCATAAAGAAAAAGATTTGTCTTTCCTTGCTCATAATTTTATACTCTAGGCTATTTCAGTAGGACCTAATTTAGGCCAGTTACATTTCACACTTTCTAAATTTAGTTTTGTTTCTTTAGATCCTAGAAGACAGTATGATATTTTCTCTGGCCAGTTGCATAATAACTGCAAAATGTAAGTAAAAATTGCTTTCTTTGTAGATGAACTACAAATATGTAAAAGTAAAGCTATTTTAAAATGAAAGAAACATTAATGCAGGATCTTTTTTTTTAAGTCCTTCTCTTCCCTCCTCTTCCTTGTTTTAAAGTCTTGATTCACACAAGTTATCATTTTTTTACTCCGTATTCCCTGTGCCACTTCTCTGAACATTGTCATCAATGTCCTGACACAGCTTTATGGGTTGTGGATTCCAGTTAGTGCCTTTAAAATGAACTGCTATTGACACCTTTCCAACTGGAGCAGTGAGCGTCTCAATTTCCTGCTGCTGCTTTTCACTTTGATTCCACACCGTCTGCTATTAAGGTCTACCGACAGAAATGAGGCCACAGAAGCCACAATTAAAAAAAATTATATATATAATTTTGTCTATAGACAAAATATTAATATAAAGTGCTTAGAAGAAATATAACATCAGTTAAAAATCTAGATAATTTTTATTCACCTCAGCTGTTACATCTAGGTTTTTCTGGTTTAGGAAAATTTATTTAAAAAATAATGAGTACTAAAGAAAACTTCCCATAAATTTTTCCCGTTTTAAGATGTGTGACCTCTAGAGAGAAAGACGGGGCTTTCTGTCCCTGTAAGGAGGTGGTCTCAGAACTCACAGGGCAGTCCTACCCTGTCCTGTGGGGTCGCTGTGAGTCAGTGTCAACTCCATGGCAGGGAGTTTGGTTTGGGAGACATGTCTAGATACTCTATAATAAATGTAATTTCTGTAAGCATTTATCTAAAGTATTAATTTTTTACAAAATTTTTTTACAACCTTAAAATGTATTTGTGAAAGTCCTTCAAAAAATCTGAAATGGGTGTTTTCTGGACACCATGCAAAGTGACCATTTCTGTGCTTGACTTATTTTAATCAGATAGATTGACTAGTTTTTAGAGGATCCCTGTTTCCTTGCTGTGGGTTGGATTTTTGAAGGCATCTCTAGGTTTTGGAAAAGCATGTTAGGCGGGAAACTTAAAGCCCTCGCTCCGCCACTTCCCAGCCCAGGCAAGATGTGTGCTGCATTACTCTGTCCTGTTCCAGAATAAAGGGTTAGCGCTGAAGTGAACTCCAAAGTGTTCTTTTTGTATGAGTGTGTGGGTTTTGTACCCTCATTTACTTGAGGAACCTGAACTGGCTTAACCTCTCTAGACTACTTTTTAATAGAATTGTACAAAACAAGCAATGTGTAGGTTATTGATTGTATTAATTTCAAGTGATAATATATTCAGCCTATATGAGTACCTGTTATATGCAAATCCTTGTTCTAAGTTGTTTAATAGACTGTATTGTTATAAGATTGTACTTCATGTCCCTATTATAAACTATGCACACAGTTTTCAGAACACTTGTGAAACAGATTCTATAGGTTGCCAAAAAAAACCAAACATATGTAGGATAAAGTTAAGGATAAGCATTTATCCCTGTGCCTTTCATAAACTCTTGGTTGGACAAATTATCAAGATCATTGAGCACTACCTGGTAGCTAGTGATTTAATTGAAGATAATATTTAGTGCAGAATATAAGAATTGGATCATGGGTAATCAGGCAAATGTTAAAAAACTGATAATTTCTAAACCAGCGGTTCTGAACCTGTGGGTCGTGACCCCTTTGGGGGTCGAACAACCCTTTCACAAGAGTCGCCTAAGACCATCGGAAAACGCCTATTTCCCAAGGTGGTAGGAATCGAGACACCGCCCCTCTATCCATCTCCAGGCGGGCCTGACCACATGTAGATATGCCCATTTATGAGTGTACCCAGCGTGAAGACAGTTACCCATGCTACACCATGCTTCAAGACACAATAAATAATTGCACATTGTCCCTGTGCTTTAAATATGTTCAATTTGTAACAATGAAAATACATCCTGCATATCAGAAATTTACATTACATTTCATAACAATAGCAAAATTACAGTTTTGAAGTAACAGTGAAAATGATTTTATGGTTGGGGGTCACCACAACATGAGGAACTATATTAAAAGGTCATGGCATTAGGAAGGTTGAGAACCACTGTTGTAGACAAATTAAGATCAGCTGAAATACTACATAAAATATCATTTGACATAGAAAAAGTGGAGCTGTAGGTAGTGTTAGTTCAAACAAAGTCTAGGTAAAATAGTAATGCATGTCTGTGTATTTCCATTATTGAATAGATTTTGTGTGTTCCTAAAGGATTTATCACTACTCTGTTTTTTCTGTTTGTTCATATAGTTTTAGTACCTTTATTTTCATTCCCCTTGAATATAAACCATTGACTAAGCACAAGTAGACTAAATCACTAATTTCCCAGTTTTGGTTGTTCATCACAATAATCTCACAAGGAATCTGAACTCCATGCCAAACCTAATGATTCAGATTCTGTAGGTATGGCATCACCCAACTCCCCAGACTTTTAAAAAAATACCAATTTTTAGGCAAAGGTTCCTCTTTAACAATTTGTTTCATGCTGTTAGTTACTAGTTCTGCAACGTTTCAAGATTCTCATTGTTTCCACTGTTCTATTTTCTTTGATCTGGTTTCCCTTCTTCTTGCTGTTTCATCTTTGTTTTGAGGAAACTGTTGACCATTTAGACTTATAGCCATTTATTTAATGGAGCACATAACTCATAGATGATACTATTTTTTTTCATAAGCCAGTCTATTATTTGACTGAAAGGTGATCTGTAGAAGTCGCTTCAACACCAAGTTCAAAGTTACAGGAATAATTGAGTATGCTGTGTCTTAGCCAACTGCTTCACCCTGTGGGCTGTAAAGCCATGAGAGGGTGGGGCTACAGAGGCTGCTGATGGCACTGCGCAGTTCTTTCCCAAATCATCAGAAATTGCTTTTTCCAATGGATGCTGAGTTCTCAGTACCAGGGATGCAGCTGTCAGTGCCAGAAGGAGGGCCATATTCAATAATTCACTGCACGAGAAAAGGATATTTTAGGATGATAGCTGAAGGGATCCTGTAGTCTCTGTCATCCCCAGATGTGTTTGTTTGTTTTTTAGTCATTTTATTAGGGCTCATACAGCTCTTAGCACAATCCATACAAACATTCATTATGTCACACACATTTGTACATATGTTGCCATCATCATTTTCAAAACCTTTTTTCCACTTCAGCCCTTGGTATCAGCTCATTTTTTCCCTTCTCTTCCCCACCCTCACTCCCTCATGAACCCTTGATAATTTATAAATTTTTCTGTTTCCATGTCATACACTGTCTGATGTCTCCCTTCACCCACTTTTCTGTTGTCCGTCTCCCTGGAAGGGGGCTTATCTGTCAATCATTGTGATCAGTTCCCCCTATTTCCCGCCCCCCGCCCCCTTCCCCTTCCCCTCATGGTATCGCTACTCTCATTATTGGCCCTGAGGGGTTTATCTGCCCCAGATTTCCTTTGTTTTCAGCTCTTATCTTTACCCGTGTACATGCTCTGGTCTAGCTGGATTTGTTAGGTAGAATTGGGGTCATGATGGGGGGTGGGAGTAGCAACCCCGGATGACTTTTGAGAACCATTGTCCTACACAACAGCAAGTCACAGTTCTAAGAAGTAGTATATCTACCATAGGAAATGAAAATTTAGCTATATATTTATAGACAGATCCATCTGCTAGTTTAATTTTTATGAATCATTTCATTAGGGCTTCAGAGTGAGCCCGTAAATCAATTTTCAGATTGTACAAGGTTTTGAGTGAACCAGATATTCATCATATTCATCAACATTGAACACCCCCAGGTATTGAACTTTATTTGTTATCATTACTATACAATACTTAGCTCTAGTTACCAATTTTAAGAAGGAAAGTCTTCAGATTGGACTATCTCTTTTTCTTAGTAGTTGGTTTTTTAAAAAATGAATATTCATGTTGTATAAATCCTGTGAAGAATTGGTGGCATTTATGTATCTTCTACATTAGGGGAAAAAGGCAATTAAATTTTTTTCTTATTCTGCCTCCAAACCATTACTTAGCTATTTTCATTTTATTAATATTTTTCACCTAGTATGCACCTGGGCAATCTGTTTTTTAACCACCTCTGAAGAAATTCAGAAAAAATTATATGAAGAAATAGATCAAGTATTTGGGAAGAATCCTGTTACTTTGGAGAAAATTGAGCAGCTCAGGTAAGAACATCTAAAGGGAAGATAAAATTACTAAAAGATAAAATTTGAACTGGTTTACCTATGGAGTTTAAAGCTTTTGTGAATATCTAGGAAAGCTATTATATTTTATAGGACTTAAATTATATATGTACATATTTTAATTAAAAAGCCCACTGCCACTGAGTTGATTCCAAATCATAGTGTCCTAGATAGGGTTTCTGAGATTATAAATCTTCATGGGAGCAGAGAAGTTCATTTGCTACTAGGTTCCATACATATTTTAATAGATAAACAAAATTTCCCTTTAAAATTATAAGGTACATGAAACTAAACCTACTGTCATCTAATCCATTCTGACCCACAGTAACCCTGTTGGACAGAGGAGAACTGCTCCAAAGGGTTCCATGGCAGAGAGGTCTTAATGGAAGTAGACTGCTACATCAGCCTGCCTGGGACTGGCTGGTGGCGGTGTTTGTTTGTGTTTTGGGTTTGAGGGAGTTTTTAAAATATAGGTATCTGGGGCTATTCCCAAACCAAATGCATCACAATCCCTGGACAATAGAAGCTTTCAAAAATGAATTCTTAGATGATTTTAATGTAAACCGAAGTTGAGAATCTCTGAACTACGGATTCTTTTCTCTCTGGGAAGGCAGTCATTTCTGATCTGGTGACTTCCCAATTTAAAATCCTTCAATGACTTTTGTAGCCTTTATGAGAAAGTGTAAACTCCCTGGCACATGGCTTGTGAGGCACTTGAAAAGCTAGCCTTAGAATACCATTCTTTCCCTGACCTGGCACCAGGTTTTGTTGTTGTTCACTCTTTTGCATTCAGCTATACTGAAATTCTTGTTTCTTGGGAGCTCCAGCACATTGTCTTATATCCTGATTTCTATACAAATTATTCATCTTTCTCCGGAGCCCTCTGTCTGTGGAGCCCTGGTGGCATAGTGAGTTACAAGTTGGGCGGCTAACTGAAGGGCTGCAAGTTAAGCCACTAGCTGCTCCACCGGAGAAAGATGAGGCTTTCTGTTCTTTTTTTTTTATTATTGTTTTATTGGGGACTATTACAATTCTTATCACAATCCATATATACATCCATTGTGTCAAGCACATTCGTACATTTGTTGCCATCGTCATTCTCAAAACATTTGCTTTCTACTTGAATCCTTAATATTGGATCCTCATTTTCCCCCTCCCTCCCCCTTCCCCTCCCTCATGAACCCTTCATAATTCATAAATTATTATTTTGTCATATGTTGCACTGTCCGATGTCTCCCCTCGACCACTTCTCTGTTGTCCATCCCCCAGGGAGGAGGCTATACGTAGATCCTTGTAGTCGGTTCCCCCTTTCTACCCCACCTTCCCTCCACCCTCCCAGTATTTCCACTCTCACTCCTGGTCCTGAAGGGATCATCTGTCCTGGATTCTCTGTGTTTCCAGTTACTAGCTGTACCAGTGTACATCCTCTGGTCTAGCCAGATTTGTAAGGTAGAATTGGGATCATGATAATGGAGGGGAGGAAGTATTTAAGAACTAGAGGAAAATTGTATGTTTCATCATTGCTACATCGCACCCTGACTGGCTCGTCTCCTCCCCGAGACCCTTCTGTAAGGGGGTGTTCAGTTGCCTACAGATGGGCTTTGGGTCCCCACTCTGCACTCCCCCTCATTCACAATGATATGATTTTTTTGTTCTTTGATGCCTGATACCTGATCCCTTCGACACCTCGTGATCACACAGGCTGGTGTGCTTCTTCCATGTGGGTTTTGTTGCTTCTGAGCTAGATGGCTGCTGTTCTGATAGTTCCAAAATTTCCATAGAAGTGAAATTATTGCTTAAGGATACACAGTAGAATATTGAAGTAATTTGAATCCTGTAAACAAGAGATACCAGCCTTGTAGTCCTAAACAATTGCCTTAATTCATAAATATATAAAATTAGGATAAAATAGCATGTGTGGAGTTTTTCTGAGGGTTAAGTGAGATGCTATATATAAAGTGCATAACAGAACTGGCTCATTTCAAGATCTCAATGTGTTTTACTTTTCATTCTTCTCATTGTGATGTACACTTAATATTTTGAAATATGTAGTCATATTACCCTTCAGCAAGGTGGTATTCATACTTTCATCTACTAGATATGAAAGTGTTCCCTCCATATACAATTATATTAATATAATATTTATTACTATATTGTCATTCTTTGTATTGGCAGTTTTTTTTCTTTTTTTAACAGTTTTATTGGCAAATAATTCACAAATTGTACAATTCAACCCAGCTCTAAACTTACTGTTACCGTGTCAATGCCAACTCATAGTGACCCTGTAAGAAAGTGCAGAGCTACCCCTGGAGTTTCCAAGACGTCACTGTTGATGGGATTGTCTCCCAAGGAGTGGCTGGGATTTTCCAACTGCTGACCTTGTGGATTGCAGCCCAATTCAGAACCACTACACCACCAGGACTCCTTATACAGTTAAATAGTTCAATCATATTAAGAGTTGTGCAGTCATCTCCACAGTCAAATTTAGAACATTTACTTTTCTTGTACTCCTTGTTACTAGCTCTCCATTTCGCCCTCAGTTTCCCCTGCCATACCTTCACAGAACCATTGATCCAGTTAATATCTATAGGGTTGCCTATCTTGGATCTCATAGATATGTATAAAATATATAAAAAGTAAAACAGAAAACTCTCAACCAAAAGAAAGCAGAAAATATTAATAAGTAGAGCAAATTTAAATTGAGTCAAAAGGGAGATCAGATGATAAAGTGTTCAATTTTAACCTAACCATATCTGCAGTAATCCATTTTTCAATGCACTCTGCATGAAAGCAAGGCTATTCGTGTCTCTAGTTTATGTCCAGAGAGAATTCACCACATGCTTAATCTACGTGTATTTCCTCTTCACTTTTTTTTTTTAATTAAATGGTAACAACTCTAAAATAGGTTAGAAGGGAGATAAAACGATAGTACTTTTTTTTTTT